CACTGAAATTACAATGGGAAATTTTCTTGTACCATTTGTAACTTACGTTGGTAGATATAAACTGTTAAAAACCTATGGGAACTAAGCAGCACAGAAGTCAAATAAAAACAGCTAAGTCGCAGTTTTGGTTAATTATGCTACTGTGGGTGAATGAAATTGTCTATTCAGTGAAACATATTTAAACAAACGATGACTTAGCATATTGTAAAACAAAACTACTTGTAATTACAGATTTATATGCCTAATTACTAAATAGAATAGAATAGAGCTTGAAGGGACCATGAAGCAGCCCCACGCTGAAGCAGGAGAACCTTTACCAGCTCAGACAAGTGACTGTCCAGTCTCTTCTTAAAAACCTCCAGTGATGAAGCGCCCACGATTTCTGAATGCAAGCTGTTCCACTGGTTAATTGTCCTCACTGTTAGGAACTTTCTCCTTAATTCCAGGTTTGCTTCTCTTTGATCAGTTTCCAAACATTGTTTCTCGTCCTTCCCTCTGGTGCTTTGGAGAATGTGACCCCCCTCTTCTTTGTGGTAGCCTCTCAAATACTGGAATACTGCTATCATGTCACCCCTATTTCTTCTTTTCTTTAGACTAGCCAAGCCCAAGTCCTGCAACCGTTCTTCATATGTTTTAGTCTCCAGGCCTTGGATCATCTTAGTTGCTCTTCTCTGAACTTTTTCCAAGGTCTCAACATCTTTTTTTAGTATGGTGACCAAAATTGGTTGCAGTATTCCGGGTGTGGTCTCACTAGGGTCTTATAAAGTGGTACTAATATGTCACGTGATCTTGATTCTATGCAACCCAGGGTTGTATTAGCTTTTTTGGCTGCTGGTGCACATTGCTGGCTCATAATCAAGTGATCGTCCACTAGGACTCCAAGGTCCCTCTCACAGTTAGTGTTTTTAAGCCAGTTCTCACCTAAACTGTACTTATATCTTTGATTTTTCCTGCCTAAATGTAAAACTTTGCTTTTCTCCACATTAAAGCTCATTTTGTTGGTTAGGGCCCATTGTTCCAGTTTGTGAAGATCTTTTTGAATCCTGAGCTTGTCTTCTGGGGTATTGGCTATTCCTGCTAGTTTAGTGTCATCTGCAAATTTGATGAGTTCCCCTTCTATTCCCTCATCTAAATCATTGATGAAGATATTGAAGAGTACTGGGCCTAAGATGGAGCCTTGTGGTACCCCACTGCTTACTTCTCTCCATGTGGATGTGGTAACACTGAATACTATTCCTTGAGTACAATTTGTCAGCCAGCTACAAATCCATCTGGTGGTGATGTTGTCTATTCCAGTGGTTCTTAACCTGGGCGATATTACCCCCCAGGGGGCGATTTTGTTTTTTAGGAGGGCAATGGAACAAAAAGGGGCGATGCGGGGGCAAAGGAACGAAAAGGGGGCGATATGGGGGTGATGGAGCAAGAAGTTTGGGGGACACTTTTGAGACTTTTTCATACAGTGAATCGCTGTATATCTGTCGTACAAAAATACCAGATCGCTTGCTATTAGTGGATTGAATTGTGTTTTCAAATGTTCCTCCAGCTAGTTTTAGTACAGAACACCGTACATATGTGAATATGCATCGCTTATCTTCATGCGCGTTGCGCAGCAGCCTCTACCCATACAGTGGTGCACCACTGGCCAGAATGGGCAGTGATGGAGGGGGGAGCGCTTCTTTCGAAACATCGCATGCTGAGTGGCTGTCCCCTGTGACGTCAAATGTAATGTTGATGTCACAGTTTGAGTTTTCAGCTTTGTTTTCAAATTTTTGTTATGCTCTGTAAAATATTTTGTGTGTCTCTTTGTATTGTACTTCTTTAGCGTGCACTCCAGTTTGATATTATATTTTCTTTGTGTCTTTTTAATCCTTTTTACAGTGTGCGTGACTATATATACTTTCCTCAAATCTTAATTTAGTTTCAGAGTTTTTGTCTTCAAATTCTTAGTTCCTGCATTGCGGTTTGTTCTTATGCCCTTTTTATATTTCTTTTTGTGTCTTAAATTTCACTTGTAATTCAATCATTAAATGTTACTGTTTTTCTTTTCGGGCATTTCACTTTCTTGCAATTGAATTTCGTTTTCAGTGGTGATTACATTTAAGTGTCTTGAATAAATAAGATAATTAATGAAATACATGTATCACGAAGTTTGGGAATAAAGTGCTGGGTGGCACCAAAATTTTTCACACAATTGAGATATGGGAAAAAGACTGGAAATAAACTATTTGCATCAATATGTCCTGATGATAATTTTAAAGAAAACAAAAAAAAAGTGTTTGCATAAATTGAAGAATTATTTCCTATGTTGTGATTGAGAGGTTTTGTTGGGGGAGGGGGGCGATGACAACTTCCTGATTGGCTCAAGGGAGCGATTTGTTCAAAAAGGTTAAGAACCACTGGTCTATTCCACCTTTTTCTAGCTTCCCAAGCAGTAGATTGTGGTCTACTTTGTTGAATGTCTTACTGAAATCTAAGTATACTATGTCCACAGCGTTTCTCTGGTCTACTAATTTGGTCACTTTATCAAAGAATGAAATAAGATTGGCATGATCTGTTATTACTTTTCTGAATTGTGAATGATGAAAATAATTAATGATTTTTAAAAAACTGTTTAATTCCACTTTTTGATTCAAAAAAATTCAATGTGTAGGAACATAACTCAGTGCTACCTTGACCCTAGAAACAATAGATTAGGAACAGGCTAACACTCATTGTTTGCTTTATTCATTCAAGCGCTAGTCTTCCTGGTTTGCATATTTTAAGATAAAAATCACTGAATTGCATTATAACTTGAGTGGTTGCACTGAAGCCAACTATAATAAAAAATATATTCAAATTATTTTAAGAAATAAAATGTTTCTCACCTCCTCAGTCATTTTCTGGCTTATGCTCAACAGCATAAGCATGTTGTCACATTCTGTGATACCCATGGCATAAAGATCACTCAGCACATTAGCACAAGCAATGCGGCCCTAAAATAGAATAAAGAAACAACTAGAACCAAGCAAGAAGGGCAAAGCAACCACCATATTACAATCAGCTGAGGATGAAATCTAATTTCAATGACACAGCTTCATCCTTTCTAAATTGACCAATACGTCCTCCACCTCACCAGCATGCCAACTCACCATCATATAAGGGTCTTCTACTAGTGGGTAAAAAAAGTCTGTAGTCTGCACCAAAGACAGCCCCCCATGCCTCAAAGGAATCACACAAGAGTCCATTCCAATGCCTGTAGAGAAGAGGAATCACACCATTTTTGAACCTTTAGAATTATTTCCAATCCAAGCAATTACTTGGAAGTTTATAACCTGTATCTTCATTTTCAGTACTTATGCAATAAAATAGGGAATGTCATGAGGCAGTGTCTAGGTTACAGAATGGACAGCAAGCAAATGGGGTTAACATTTCTCAGTAACCAGCCATGCACTATGTTATTGTGCATTTTGTAACCTCCAGTAGGCAAAGGATAAAAACGAACCCAAAGTGCAACAGCAAATCATTTCTGCAACAGTGAATTGTCCACAAAGGGTCCAACACTTTGGAAAAAGTTCACGGACAAAGTTCAAATCAAGGGAGATTTTTATTTAACAGAACGTTAAATATTATCCACGGGTAAGCTTATTTGGGAGCAAGAAACTAAAATCGAACGCATGTAGTTTAAGATCACTTACAGAGTTTATGCAAAATAAAGGTTTTCAACAGCGTACCCATTCGATCTGTAGCCCAGACGTTACCATTGCATCGTATCGCCCTCTTCTAACCCGCTCTTCAAGTTATGTACTACCACTTTCATCATTCACCACCAGTTTTGAAACATCCCCGCGTGGTAGCACATAAAGACTACATTCGACGCTTCCCCCCCCCCCCAGCCAAGCCTTACCGAGGGTGGGAGGAGGATTCCCGGCAGCCCCCGTATCCCCGGCCCCGGCCAATCCAGCATGGGAAGTGCCAAGTCCCTCCAGGAGTCTGAGCAGCGTCTCCTGGGGGACTTTGCAGCCTCAGCCGCGCAGCTCCCCGTAGCTGGTGAGCCTCCAGCCCGGGCTCAGACCCACCGCCTCGGGCTCAAATGGCCGGTAACCAGGCGGCCCGGGCGGCAGGGCGGCGGGACTTGGAGCAGTGGTTGCCGCCAACGACGGGAGGGTGGCAGACGGAGAACCGGCCAGCGCCGCCATGATGGCTCCACAGCAGAAGCGTCTTTCCCCACGAGAACTGGGCAGAAAAAAACGTTCACCCAGCTACGCTCGGGGAGGGCGGAGTAAGAGTGGGCACGCATCCCTCCTTCACCCGTCCGCGGGTTATTCTTCAGCAATGCCAAGGAAAAATCTCGCGAGACGTTGGGGGACGACGTTTTGGAAGTTCATTTTTAACTGTGTAAAGAGGGATATAGTATAGAAGGGGGCCTTCCAGACAATGAATTAAAGTTTTTTTTTTTCTTAAACTAGAGCACAGTTATTGCGATGTGAACTTACCGAGGGTAATATATACCTGTGGCATATCATTTCGCATAAAATTGAGAATTCTGGTAGTGTACAGCAATAACGCAATTGAAGGAAATAAAAGTTATTCTTTCAACAATTGTAGAAATAATTGTAGAAATGTAATGCCATTATATGAAACTGTCTCTTTAGTACAAATGTAATACTGTAACGCAAATGTAACAATGTAATGCCAATATATGAAACAGGTTTCCTGCCCATGTAAAATTGACTACAAATGGTAATCAGCAAAGATAATTAATTATGACCAAATGTTTACTATTTCCTGCCTAAAAATCCTCCGGACACAGGAACTTACACTTTGAGTAGAAATCATTATCAAAGGGGGATTTTGACCCTAGGTGAAAATTACAAATAAACAAGATAACAGCAGATGGACTGAAGAGGTCAGGTTAACAAAGTACAACTTCAAAGTACATTATAAAGATGAAAAAGCTTCTTAGGTGTGGCATACATTGTAGGGGTATAAAATGCAGATCTTGAAATCAGGCCAGTGCGCTCCTGGAAGCCAATCCATTGGGACGGATCCAGGAGGCCTGTTTGCAAATGCTTCTATTCTATTCTCTTTTCTTTTTATATTATTCTCCAATAAATCTTTGTTAGGTTAACCAGACTTATCTTCGTATTGTGAGTATAAAAATTTGGGGTTTTTACATCTCACAATCTTGGTGGAGAATGCGGGCATGCAGAGTCTCTAGGGGACACTGTTCTCAGTAAAATCAGGAGCGCGCCTGTTGATTTCAACTGCCTGGAGTTATCTGAGATCTAGTTTCCCCTTGCAGGCTCTGAGCCAAACTAAATTGACAATTCTGGTTTACAAAAATCAAAGAACAGGAAAAAAGGAAGAAAATCAGCAACTAAAGCCCAGACCAAGTAACCCAGTGCACTGGCCCAGGTAAGACACTTTTGCCCCGAAGTAGGGACCCATGCAATTGTACCTGGGTGGTGAGGAGAGCGATTGTGGGAGGATTTCTGTGATAACGGCTGTGTGAGTGTGATGGGCTGTGTTCTGGGAACACTGGTAAGTCCAGAGGAGTGCGGACCTGAAAGGTTGAGGTCCCTTGCTCCGGTGAGGGGGAAGGCCAGCCTGAAGGGAAGCAATCTGGTGTTAAGAGTTTTGAGTGGCCATCAAATCTTGAACCTCAGAGAACCATAATCAGGGAAACTCTCAAGAAGATGGGTTGTTGTTGTAAGTCCTTGTTGTAAACCTAAAGAAAAAAATAACTGTAAAATTGAGTAGCTTTAAACAGGAAAACCCATCTTGCTAGCAGCAGATGCCTTGTGTCTGTGAATGGGTTTCCCAGGCTCTGCCCATGTGGAGCCAGGGTAGAAAAGGAAGTTTTTGGAAATAAGGGGAATGAGACATGTGTGTGTATGTCTCTGTGTGTGAGTGAGAAGACCCTTTTCCCAATTTCAGTTGGATTTTGTTGTCTCTGGCTTTTCCTAGCCACAGAAAGGATCTGTTGAAGTTCAGACCCTGGAAAGCATGGGGGTTTGGCCAGAGCGCAGGACCTTTTGTTAGGGAAAAGGGAAAGGCTGTGTGCAAATGGAATGGAATGGGTGAATGAAAGAATTGGATTTGAGTAACCAGCTGGTTAGGTCCTGTAAGCAAAGCAAAGCAAAGTTAGGAAAATGGAATTGGCTAAATAAAAGTACTTAAAAGAAAAATGAGAAGTAGTGATTCTCTTTTTCTCTCTATCTTTCTGTGCAACCATATGGTATGTTTAAGATTCTTGCCTTCTCTAATTCGAGTTAGCTGAGATTTGTGGTGGGAATGACAAGGATGTGTAGAACTAAAAGTTCTGTTTTCTGTTCTCTTTTCCTTATCTTGGTATGTATATGTGTGTCAAAGTTTTTGTGTGTGAGGTAAATGTGACTGTTAATTGTTTCTAATCCCAAGAGAAAAGAAGATACCAAAAGAAACATCCTCACTCTGTTTGTCTGGCCAACAAACAAAGTGAAGAAAGATGTGTTTGTTTGTTTATTTTTTTCCTCTCCCTCTTAAGAACAGCCCAAAGTTACCTGCTCAGGCAGGAAATCCTATACCATTTTCTTGCCTATTAGTTCTGCTCTCTCCCTTTTGCAAATGTTATTCAGAAGTGTGTTAATACCCTTTTAAACTCTATCTGCAGACACAATCCCCCTTCCCCGCTGCTTTTTTTTTTTCCTGGCTGTGTTGCTTTGAGAGGGAGAGAGAGAGAGAGTGAAAGGAGAAGGGGTTTTGATCTTTTTAACTTTTTCTCTGCTTAGAATTCAGATTTGAGAAAGGTGGGGTGGCTGTGAAAATTTAATGCCCACTTTTGCAGTTTCAGTAAAGAAATGACTCTAAATTGTTTGCTTAGATTTATAAATGTTTTCCCTATTTAATGGAAATTTAATGGAAATTTGTTTCCATCTGAATGGAATTTGATTAAATTGGAATTTGACTAACTTTATATTAAAAGCAATACTAGGGTTTGATAAAAAAAACTATTTCAGTAACTCAGAATATCTTATTAAACTTGTTTATTTTTTTGTGAAGTTAAAACAAAGAAATTAAGAAAAATTTGGGATTATAAATAGCTATGTTGTTTTGATTAAAGATTTGTATGCAAAACTGTTAGAAAAAGAGCTTGTGTTAACAAATGCAAACAGAGTTTGATGAGCTCTCCTTTGTTGGCTCTTTACTAGGTAATTTATTTATAAACAAGAACAAAGGTTGGAGGAGGTTTTGTCCCAAAAGTGGGGGGAAGAGGCAGCCAGTGGCATTTTTGTCTAAAATTGACATTTGGGGACGTCTTGTGGTTAGCATTTCTTATCAAGTGTGGACAATTTTAATCAGGAAGCCTAAAGGAGGTATACACTTGTTCATAGCAAAGTAGTTGAAAAAAAAAGGAACAAGAAAAAGAGAGACATAATGAAGATACGATAGTAGATGGGGAAGGAGGTATTACCATGAATTGAATTAAAAGATAAAATAATTAGAAAATATGTACTCGAACTGTCCAGATGTTTTTCTCTCCTGTGACAGAAAGGCATTCTTGCCCAGACTCCACCCTTGGACTTTGTAGTACACCAATACAAAACAGACATGTTGATAAAAGCCTGGAGAGGCGGAAAAACTAACTCCAAACTTGGAAGGTCCTTACATCGTCTTGTTAACCATTGAGACAGCTAACCGGACAGCTGAAAAAGGTTGGACCCATTACTCCCGAGTAAAAGGGCCCGTGCCAGCCCCAGAGGACTGGAAGGTGGAATCTCACCAAGGAGATCCACTGAAGCTAAAGTTCCGAAGGACTTCATGGACTAATAGTCAATCTTCCTGACAGAAAGGGGGGTAATAGAGGAAAAAGGACTAAACTTTATATATTTTTTTCTATCTAGAACCAAAGGAAACCCAAGATCTCCTCATGTGTTGATTTTATGGATCTCTTTGTGGGTGTTATTGCTGCTCTCACTGTATTAATTGTGTTCAGTGCACAGGGTGTGAGATAGAATGTGATATTAAGTCTTAGAAGATGTATTGGAACGTTACAAGGTGGTATGTCTGGGGGGGTGTTTCTTATTATACTCTTAAAACCTGTAAACCATTAGAGTCATGTAAGCAATGTGTAAAAATGACAAAGAGAGAAGGAGAAAATATACACTGACTCCAAGTATGTTTATGGAGTCTTGAATTCTGGTGGGAGAAGAAAAGAAAGAAGTTATGCTAGAGTGGCAGAAGGGAAGGAAAGAATGGATAATAGAAGAAAGAAACAGGAAATTTGTTTTAAGTTGGTTTGCACAGACTTGTGAATTACATGCATTAAGCAGGGAGACTGCCATTAACGTGATCAGCCCAAATGTGTGAATTGTATGCATTAACACAAGCCTTAGAATGTTGAAGGAACAAGAATGTACTAAAGATGGGAGGTGGATGTTGCAAGATGGGAGAGGATGTTGAAAAGAAAAAAGAAAAAACAACAACAAAACAATGGCTAGAACACAGAAGCAGCCACTGAAGGGGGGTCACAAGGGATGATTAATATTTTCTAAAACAGGATGGTTGTATTTATACTTTAGTTAAACAAATATGTGATAAAATTCAAGTTAAACAAAAAGCTTTACAACATTTAGTGGTGAGGCCATGTCAATATAGGCCTCAACTGGAAAGTTGTTTTTGTTTCTTTGAAATGATGTATGGGAGGCTTTTGTTACATGAAGGTTCAAGAATGTCAATGTAGAAGAGAAGAAAGTTACTCAGTATTTGCATAATGTGGCGCAGGTTTTGTCTTCTATCTCAGCACAGGCCAAGGCTGCCTTACCACCTGTTTCTGGCCATTGTTCCTGGAGAGTGGATTCAGGCGAAAAGAACTGTCACCTAGAAATACCATTCCTGAGTGGTCTCAACCATGCCAAGTCCTCCTGATTTAAGGAATCAAGGCGTGAGTCCATGGAAAGTGCCATCATATCCTCTCCAGTGACAAACTCCGCAGCTGGACGGCCTGAAAATTAAATTTCAACCTGCCTCCCCTGTTGAATTGTTTCCATCTAAGTGGGAGAAAAACTTCAATGGATTGGACGTGTTCCTAGAACCTGGACTATGTGTTGAAAAGTTTTTCTTCTGCTATCGTTGTTTCTTTAGTACTTTCTTTGGTAGAAGGAAGGACCATGGGCCCAATACTTTAAGAAACATTGGGGAAAGAAGACTCAGAATATGAAAACTTGCTTGCACAGGAATCTAAAGAAAATATAGGAAGTTATGAACTGTTAAAAGTATAAAAGAATAAATTCAGGTGGAAGAGAAAAAGGGAGGATTGAAGGAAATAAAAGTTATTCTTTTAATAATTGTAGAAATAATTGTAGAAGTGTAATGTTATTATATGAAACTGTCTCTTTAGTACAAATGTAACAATGTAATGCCAATATATGAAACAGAAATGTTTACTGTTTCCTGCCCACGTAAAAGTGATTACAAATGGTAATCAGCAAAGATAATTAATTATGATCAAATATTTACTATTTCCTGCCTAAAAATCCTTTGGACACAGGAACTTACACTTTGAGTAGAAATCACTATCAAAGAGGGGGATTTTGACCCTAGATGAAAATTAAAATAAACAAGATAACAGCAGATGGACGGAAGAGGTCAGGTTATCAAAGTACAACTTCAAAGTACATTATAAAGATGAAAGAGCTTCTTAGATGTGGCATACATTGTAGGGGTATAAAATGCAGATCTTGAAACCAGGCCATTGTGCTCCTGGAAGCCAATCCATTGGGAAGGATCCAGGAGGCCCATTTGCAAACGCTTCTATTCTATTCTATTCTATTCTATTCTATTCTATTCTATTCTATTCTATTCTATTCTATTCTATTCTATTCTATTCTTTTTATGTTATTCTCCAATAAATCTTTGTTTTGTTAACCAGACTTATCTTCGTATTGTGAGTATAAAAATTTGGGGTTTTTACATCTCACACAATTCATCTTGTTTTCTTTGCACAATGCAGAAGTAGTTTATCACTATAGTTTTCTGAGATTGTAATTTCGTAGTCTGGTCCACAGGGTTTTCTGATGGTTTCTCATCTATATACTAACCAGACTGTATCTCGTATCTATAAGTTTCATTATAATCACCTTTTAAAAGTTTCTAGGCAGTGCTATAAGCATACAGCCAAAAATTATGTACCTTTTTGGTCAAATACTTGCCACTATTAATCACATTTATGCTATATCAAGAATATTTCAGAATTATGATAGGTTACTGACTCCAAAATGTCTCTGAATTTGAATTTCAAAAGTTGAAATTCAAATACCAGTTTGTTCAAAATCATACTTGGATGCTGTAGCTGCACTATTTAAAGGATCTTTTTGGCATATCTCAAACCCTAACCCTAAGTGTAACCTAATCCTTACAAGGCAGTCCAGAAAAAA